GCAGGCTCAGTCGGAATTGCCGGGGCCCCGCTCCGGATCGCCTCCAGCCGCCATCTTGTTTCTTCCCTCTCGCTCGGTGACTGGGGGAATCGACAGCGGCCGCAGGCCCGGAGCGCGGTCACGTGAGCTGCGCCGCCCGACGAGCCTGGGACTGAGCGAGGAGGCACGGTGGCCGCCAGGGGGAGCGCGGGAGCGGCGCGGCGGGGGCGGGGAGGCCGCGGGGCGCCCCTGCGCTGCCGGATGGCTGCGAAGGGCGGCGGGGGAGCCGGAGGTTTCCTTTCCTGAGGCGGCGGGGGACCCCAGCCTCCGCCTGGGAGCCCCTCACACACACAGATGTGCTCCACCCAACTGCAGGGCCACGCTGCTCTCCCCGAGCTGGTCAGGAAGGCAGGGAGCTCCCCCCCAAGTCACCCGCTCCCTTGGGGAAACTGAGGCAGAAAGGGGTGGGGGGATGTTGCTTAGGGTGAGGCCCGGAGCAGGCACTGCGCAGCTCCAGCCACTCAGGGAAATGAGCTGGAGACAGGCCAGCCCCAAATAGGAAACCCTAGAGGGTCCCGGATTCATCTGGGTCGCTGTGCCCCAGGGAGTCACACGCCGAGGCTGGGACATTCGGACTTGAGGCGTGCAGTCCCCACTCCAGGTGCTGGCTTCTGCAACGAGGCACAGTTGAGGTCCCACCCTGACAGCCTGTGATAAACTCCAGAAAGTAGTTCCCGTCTGGGCCCCCCTCACCTTTCCCACAGTTCCAACCAGGAACCGGGCAAGAACTTGCTTGTCTCTCCTTTGCTCTAGAAACGATGGCGTCCTACCTCAAATCTTCATAAAGCTGTGTATTTGTGTGTTATGCAGAAATATCTTTTAAATTAATTTTTATGTGCATGAGTGTTTTGCCTATAAGTGCACCCGTGCGTGTCGGCAGAGGCCATAAGAGGATGTTGGAGCCCCTGCAACTGGAGTTGTAGACTGTTAGCTCCCTTGTGGATGCTGAGAGCAGCCTTCTCTCCAAACCGCCCCCGACACACACCACCACCACCACCACCATAAGGGCCTTACCGGACAAGTCATCAGGTCCGAGTTTGGCCTAGGGAACAAACACAAGTTGATGAAGTTTCAGGTGCAGGAACCTCCCAGACGCCAAATCTTGGTGGATTCAGGAAAGGTTTTAGGAACATGTATATTTACTGATAAAGGTGAGAGCCAAAAAGGAATTTGTAGAAAAATAATAATGGGATTCTGTCCACTACGTCTTATTACAGTGTAATTAGGAGAATAGAGAACCTGTGAAATGAAAAATTAAAATGAATGTACTAGGGGCTGGAGAGATGGCTCCGTGATCAAGAACACTGACAGCTAGCTCTTCCTGAGGACCGGAGGTTTGGTTTCCAGCACCCACACGGTGGCTAAGAACCATCCTTAACGCCAGTTCAGGGGATCCAACACTGTCTTCTGGCCTCTGCAGGTGCCAGCCATGCACATGGGGAACTTACATACATGAAAGCAAAACAGTCATACAGTTAAAAATAAAATCTTTTTTTTAAGGTTTAAAAAAAAAAGTACAGCAGGGCATGGTGGTTCATACCTTTAATTCCAGTTCTTGGAAGGCTAAAGCGACAGAGCTCTGTGAGAGTGAGGCCAGCCTCGTCTACGTAGAGAGTTCCGGGCCAGGTGGAGCTACGCGGGAACCCTGGTTCAGAAAACACACACAAAATAAATAAAAAATGCAAGTACTAATTGTCAATTATAATTTCTTCACCGTACTTCAGTTGAGGACTGAAGGTGGTAAACTTACACACTATAGCCGGGCTCGGTGGCACATACCTTTAATCCCGGCACTCAGGAGGCAGAGGCATTCGGATCTCTGTGAGTTCAAGGCCAGCCTGGTCTACATAAGACAGCTGGGGCTACAGGGAGACCTTGTCTAAAAAAAAAAATACACATTGCTTTAAAAAAAAGCAAGTTATTGCCCATTGCTAAATTGGGATGATTTTAATGTTACTAGGCATAAAAAATGTTCTAAGTTCAAATGTATTTACATTTTTTATATTTTATGGAAGGAGAAATGTCCCCTGGTAGGTAAAACAAACACGTTGATGAACAAAGTCGAACATAATAGGAAAAGCCTGCATCTTTTTATTTCCGTCGTGCAGTGCCGTGGAGGTCAGAAAAGGGCTTCGGATTCCCCTGGAACTGGAGTTAAGGACCGTTCGCAGCCGCCATGTGGGTGCTGGGAATCGAAACCCGGATTCTCTGCAAGAGCAGTCAGTGCCCTTAATCCTTGAGCCATCTCTCCATCAACCCCCCTTTTCTTTTCTTTTTTTCAGATCTTTTGATTATCCGTGTTGATGGTGCCTCTGTGCCCCCCCCCCCGCCCCCGCCCAGTGCTGGGATTTAAGGCGTGTGCCACCATGACCGACTTTGTTTTGTTTTATTATTTTTCAGGTGGTAGACTTTTGACATGGGCTCTCACTGTGTATTCTGGGGCTGGCCTCAAACTTCTGACCCCCGCATCAGCCTCCCAAATTCTGGTATTACAGGCAAGTGCCTTCATGCCTGGCCTAATCTAGAATTTCAAGAGGATGTGGAGATTTTGTCTGAAACTATTTTATTTTGTGTGTATGAGTGTTCTAGCCTGCATGTATATATAAGTGCACATGTGTTGTACAATGCCTGTGCAGGCCAGAAGAGGATATCATATCCCCTGGAACTGGAGTTACTGAAATTTGTGAGCCACCATGTGGGGTTGGGAACTCAACTGGAGCCCTTTGCAAGAGCAGACAGTGCTCTTAACCACTGAGACATCTCTCCAGCTCCCGGAAACATTTTTTTTAGACAGAGTAGCTTAGCCCAGCATCAAACTGGGCTATGGAATGACACATGTGCGACCATGCCCAACCGTGAAAAAAA